TGACATTTGCTGATGATGGCTTGCTTTTTATTTACAACACTTAATTCACCTGTAATGTAGTTGAATTATTTATTTATAATATTATATATATATATATATCACCTTCCTTATTGTTATATTAGAGAGGGGTCTACAGGAGCCAATATTACGAAATTTGATTACCAAAATAAAGGACGGTGGGGGAGCTAATTAGCCTAATTTGATGTGGAAATTAATTAATGTTTAATTAAACTTTAATTGAAATGAAAAGACTCCATCTGATCTCAACCTAATCACATGCTTTAAGTTAAAGCAATCGTTGTTTCCCCAAAAAAAAAGTGTACCAGAAGGATGATAGGTTGAGATATATATAAAGGGTGATAGGGATCAGTTTAGAGAAAAATTAGATGAAACTAATTAAATTCAATGTTAAATGATGTGTCATATTTTAGGTTAGATTATTATTATGGTGGTCTAGATGTAGCGAAAATGCGGGTCTATGTATAATCTCTAAATACAGAGATTCGGATCCCATTAGCATGTATGACTGTAGACCCAATTTACCAGGAAAATTAAATTAATTAATTAAATAAAGATCAAAAGTAAAGAATGAGATTTTTTTTTTTTTTTTTTTTGAACAAATGAGATTATTTACATTAAGAAATGGGAGGTGGGCGAGTTAAGTCTTGCAATGTGCTAGTAATAATGTGGTTTAAATCCGTTCTTCACGATAATCGAACTTAAAACCTCTCACTTATAAATAAATTAAAAAAATCATTAAATTATAGTATTAAGTGACCAAAAGTGTGTTACAAGTAAAAATTAGGAATTAGATATCAAATCAATCGATTCATTCCTACGTTAATTAAAGTATATATGGGCTTCCAAAAAAAAATAAAAAATAAAGTATATATGGAGCCAAAAGTGTGTTTGATGATGTATATGTTTCGTGGCCTTTTCGATTCCAAGAGGGCATAATGAGGACGATAAAGTATTTCGATTGTGTTATTGCGTACAGAACAATCTCATGTATTACTCATTAATTAATGGATGTCTTACTCTTCTGATTTATATAGTAATTATATCAAGTTTATATTTATCCGGTCTAGTATATCGTATTCATATTGAAATACATATTTTTACCAATGAGTCTTTAATACAGTAGTAGTTGTCTTTACTTGATTAGAGGAGGTCGCATGTCGAACTTATAAGAATATGAAAAAGATACATATCTAGAGTAAGTTTGATACCTAATTGTTTTGTTCTGACAATGTTTGTGAAGATCTTGAGTGAGTTAACCCCCATCGAAAGATTAAGAAATCTTAAAAGGGTACTTAGAAAACTAGTTTACACCTAGTCAATAAGCTTTAGATTGAAACTTCAACTTTCTTAACAGTATTAGTGACTCGTGTCCCACATCACCCAAATATATCCACATTCTCATTGAAGTTGGTTATTGTATTACCATGCCCGACTCCCGATTCCTTGAAAATGAGAAATTGAATTTCTAATTTGGTGTAGACCTTACTTCTCTTTTGATTCCTCTATAGTTAACGAATACATGAATTATCCATAATCAAGTCCAATTCCTTAACAAGTCATGGATTTTTTTTCATATTAAAAAGAAATTTCTTTATAAATTGTCAAAAATTTACATAAGATAAACATGTCAAGGTAGAGCAAACCAAGAGGCTACACATGCCAAATACAATACAATTACTTAAACACAATGGATCTAAATCCAACCAATAGGAAAGAAATTCACGATAACTACATATTGCAAGTAGGAGAACTATCATAAATGCACCAAAAGGGGAAACCCGCAACATCATATGGTGCAATCGTTGACAAAGAAGCTATATTATGAGTCACCTGCAATCAACGTTGAGTTTTTCCCTCATAATTATTTGCCTAGTGCACAAACCAAAACCGGCGTTACAAAGAACTCACCTTGACAAAACGAGAAAACAACTACAACCATAACCACAAAGACTCCTCAATAAAGTGAGAATGCGACTACAATTACGAATGATTTCCTTAATAGAGTGAGAAAACAATCACTCAATAAAGTAGGAGTGCAACTATAACCACGAATGCTTTCCTTAATAGAGTGAGAAAACGATGACTACTAAACACACAAGAAGGAAAAGCGAAGAGATGATGGATGCTTAGATTTGTGTGGAAAAGTGAACAATTTTCCTCATTAATTTTATGTTGAGTTCATATTGTATATGTCATGGACACCTCCGTAAAATAGCAAAGTAAACATATAAAAACATAAAGTTCGGGGCCATATGATAACCTTTTTTTTTAATTTTTTTTTTTCTTTCGGTTTGCACTTTTTATTTTTTTGAAAATTGAAATTTATTTGATATTTACTTTCAGTTTTCAAAATAATGAAAATTGAAAACAAGACTAATGTGACTTTCAGTTTTTGGTTTTCATTATTTAATTTTTTTTTTTAAACTGAAAATTAACAGAAGACTTAAAGTAGTTACTCAATAAAATCAATTTTCAATTAAAAAAACAAAAATGAAAAACTGAAAACGAGCTGCTTATCAACTGAACACTTAGAAAAGCAAGGTTTTTTTAAGAATTATTAATTTTTATCTCAAAAGGTCCACCTAGAAAGCTACAGGGTTCGTTTTTATGTGTATCTTTGCTGTCATCATCTTTATCACTAGTATGAATGATTATACAAACCCATAATTAATCATACAAATTACGTGGGGCTATCCTTCGTGGGTATCATCGACAAAAACAAAGGTTTGATGAGCGTAAATGCATAAATATGAAATGTTTAATTAGGTAAGCTCTTTTTTTTTTTTTTTTTTTTATTTTTTATTTTTAATGAAAGTTAGGTAAGCTTAACATCTCAAATCTTGAATCATTGAGTGTTTAGCCGGTTGTATTTTGGGTGACACTTGTAATTGCTTTGATCTGCACCAATAGTATCTCAAGATTCAAGCCTCTTTTTTTTTTTTTTTACAATTTATTCTATTCTAAATCACTCTAGTTAAGTGTAAAGCGAATAAACACATTGTACAACCAAAAAGACATGAATAAATTTCTTTCATATTGTTCGTGATCAGCGTCAATGCCTCCATGAGACGAACTTAGGATTAAAAACCATTTTTTTTTGGTCAAACGTACATAGTAGTAGCAACAACAAAATATGAGAGGGAAGTCATGGAGGAGTGATGTGCTAAGGAAATTTTTATTTTTTTTTTGGGTAATTTTTGAGGAATGATTTAAGTAATATTTAGATAATGAAAATCTTTTTTGTAAGGATTCCAGACATCCTTCAATCATATTCATTCATCGTATATCGTGTGGTCAGACATCATGGTAAATTTTTTTGTTTAAAATTAAATATAAACAATACCTGACGAAAACTGACCGTACAATATATGATGAACGAATGTGATTAAAGAATTATCAGAATTCTCACAAAGAGAATTCGGAAAAGATACTCGTTCAATGTAAAATAACATAAAGAAATAACAATGTACAAACTTTCATGTGTTCATCGTTTTCGGTGGAGGTGCAAGTCTCTAATTAAACCGACCCGCACTACGACTTATTGTGTTGCCTGCTGCCAAAGTGCCAAGCCTGCAACTGTGTGTAGATACATGTATTTTAGTATTACCAAATTTAGCACATTGCTTTTTTATACGTGTGATTATTCTATTTCATGAAGCCTCGTGTGTGCATGATTTCAGAGCCAGAACTTGCAGTTCCCACCGTCCTACTTATGAATTTCAGAAAATATTCCAGCCATATTATCTTCACACTAATTTTTATGGGGTCTGGAAGTACGAGATATTTTAGGTTTGTTTAAGCGTCAAATTTTTTATTCGATGTAAAAGATTTAAGAGATAATATTTATGTATTTTGATGCGAAAAAATAATTTATATGAAACAAATTTATCATTATGTGACGTTCTAATTCGATAAATAAATTGTTATATGGGGCAAAACGTATCCATGATACCACATTATTGAACAAGGAACCGCACAAACAGTGCACTTATTAGTGCGAGTTTGACCCCTACCATCCCTCCTCCCTCTTAACATTTAACAATTTAATCCAACAACACTATCGTTTGTCAAAAGATATAATGTGTACAAAACTTGAAACATCTCATACTCTGAAACATCATAATATTTTAAAAGATTTTGACTAGCAATAGATGTTGGGTTAAATTTAGCCCAAGAAAAAGATTGAATTATATTCATCTTTTCGCCAATCATAAGGAAAGTTACAGGTGATCATGATCCCATTTATTTGGACCACACTTCGTCAATTCCGAAATTACCAAGCATCAGTTATCTCTATATTCTTAGGGGCCCTTAGCTACCATCGTGCAGTTCACTAACAGCAGGAATCGAACTTAAAACGTATCGTGTGAAACATAAATCTGAAATTCATTATCAACCTATGAGCCGTCTCATGATAGTTACCCTTCAATGTGCTATAGAGATGGTGCCGGTTGATTCAAAACCTTAGAGATGGCGCTGGTTGATTCACCTACTATATCATCATATTCACCAAAATTCTAAAAATTATTTTAACTCCATATATAGAAGTTCTGTAAAACCCCAGGAAAAGCCAAATGAGAAAAAATGTATTTTCTGTTTAGGAAGGGAAGAGAAAAATGAAAAGAAAATCTTTTCCGTTCAAAAGTTGGTGCATTGATGGGTGTAGAAAGAACGACAACCAAACACGGCCTTAGCCTTCGGGTCCCCCTGTTGGAATTGGTTCCAAACCCAAGGCCCATATAAACTTTTAAAAATCCAGGTTATTTCCGTCAATTACACTATTTATACAAAAAGTCTCTCTTCCAGTTCCGGAACGACGCATTCGAAAATTAAAAAATCCGAGGACAAATTAGTCCTTTCAATGTAATTTCAATTTTGTAAATAGCCGTTTAATAATTTTGAAATTTATATCGACATCGTTGTCCTCTCTCTCTCTCTCTCTGACTTTCTCTCTCTTGTTGTCGCAGAAAGATTATTTTATAATCTAAGCAAGCCGTCCAAATCTCTCTCTCTCTCTCTCTCTCTCTCTCTCTTCCGTGGAGCCTCTTACCATCATCAAACCCATTTCCGAAACCAAATTCCAACAAACCCTCCCTCCCTCCTTACAATCAAAATTAGGGTTTTGCTTTCTCCCAATTCGCTCGCAGATCTGATCGAAATTGCTATTCTTTTCTTTTGATCAATTGATAACCGCAGATCTTGGTTGCGTGGTTTCTTCTATTTCATCCGGTCCGGTTCGTCGGATTGCGAATGCAAGAATTTGATTGATTTTCTGCATTGTTCGGTGTGGAATTTCTGAGATCGGATTCGATCGAACTGCAGATTCTGAGGGTTCGAAATCGCATTTCCGTTGGTTTTACTTTCATGTCCCGCTTCGAATTCGAGTTTTCTCCACCCTGTGAGTATATGTAGTTTCATGCAGGTCATCGTGCTTCTATTCGTTTGAAATTCTTGTGCTTTTTTCGTTTTACATGTTTATATAAACGCATTTTGGTTCTGTGTTTTTGTGGAGTAGTTGTTGGTACTTAGATCCTGAAAATTGGCTCCTCAAAGACGGTCGCAGCGCCACATGGGTGGCCAGATGCAGCAGAGCAATGCCGCCGCGGCAACCGCTCTGTACGATCATGCCACCGGCGCTGCTGCGGGGCCTCTGCACAGTGCAGGGCCGACAGGTGATGCTGGTGATGCGGTCATGGCCCGTTGGCTCCAGTCTGCCGGGTTGCAACATCTGGCCTCACCAGCTTCCACGGGCATTGACAATCGTCTCCTTCCCAATCTCCTCATGCAGGTATTGTTAACTTGTATTTATAACCATTACCAATAAGATTGTGCTATCTTATGATTCTTATCCTCCTTTTACATGTAAGAATACGTGATCACTGATGTCTAAGTGTTTGATATTGTCCAAGGGTTATGGAGCTCAATCTGCCGAAGAGAAGCAGAGGCTTTTCAAATTAATGCGAAACCTCAATTTCAATGGGGAGTCTGGTTCTGAGCCATACACACCTACTGCCCAATCTCTGGGAGGAGCTGCATCGGATGGTTTATATTCTCCGGAATTCAGGGGTGATTTTGGAGCGGGGTTGTTGGATCTTCATGCTATGGATGATACAGAGCTTCTGTCCGAGGTATAGTTCTTAATTAATTAATGAATATTCTGCCTTTAACTCAACTTGAAATGTTCTACATGAATTGATTCTGTAAATTCATAACAACAGAAGCCAGTACATCATTAACTCTCGTGTCTACTAGGTATCAGAGGATGAGGTAGATAACTAATCGGTGACAGAGTCATTTTATTTGAAGTTGCCTTACAACGCTTTATGCTATTATTCAATATCTGCAGAATTCTGACCAGTTGTGCACTTTGGTATATCAAGTTGTGACACCATTATTTTGGTCTGAACTTACGGCCCAGCTCTTATGAGCTAAAATAAATTGAAAATTCAGGGTGGGATGATGGGATTCCCTGGAAATGTCTCACTTGTTTTGATGGGATACCCAAATGCTAAAACTCAGATTTGGGTTTTGACTCTAAATTTGGATTGGTCAAGGAAAAGTTTTATTTTATGTTATTTCTACCCGACCATCTTGGATTTGGCAAAAAACTTATATTTGGGTTTTGAGATTCTGGTGCATTGGAGAAGGAAAAAGTTTTTTATTCAGACCCAAATCTAACATCTATGCTGCAGATGGCCAATATTGGATTCTATGGCTAGCACGGTTTCATTATTGTTTCCTTTATCTATCTGTAATTGGTCTGTGTTTTAGATTTGATATATATTTAGTTATAGCTGCAGAAAAACTGTTTGTACCTTTGTTGGAAACTAGGAAGCAAGAGGAGTTAAATTCTCACTTACTTTGGAAATGTTGTGCATAACGATTACAGCTATCGGGCCATAGGAAGAAAAGAACTACAGTTTCTGTTCTTTCTTGTTCTGTTCCTTTCTTTGTCAATAAAGTGCGGTATTGTTTACATGTGCAGCATGTCATCTCTGAACCCTTTGAGCCATCACCATTTATGCCTGGTGGTAAAGAATTTGAGGATGAGTTGAATTTGACAAGTAATAGGCAGCAAAGAGTGCTACCTGATCCAGATCCATCATTTCCATTAGCCCAGAGTGAAAAGGAGAGCACAAAGGAAAACAATGTGGCTAAGATTAAAGTTGTGGTATGTGTGCTTATATCAAGTTTTTGGTGACTTGGTTCCTTATTTCTGTATGAATGCTTTGTGTCATATATCATTTTTGGCATCTTCTGTTGTGTGATTTGGAGGCATATGATGGAATGTCATGTCTATTACTATTCATGGAAATTTTGAAAGATTTGTGCTCTAATGGTTAATGTTAGGTACGCAAAAGACCTTTGAACAAGAAGGAGCTTTCACGGAAGGAGGAGGATATTGTAACCGTTTATGACAATGCTTATTTGACAGTCCATGAACCCAAACTAAAGGTTTGTTCTCAGCATTCACAAGGCACCAGATGCTACTTGAACTTTTAGCTGAATTTTATTTTTGGGATTGAAGTCTCTTTTCCTCACATATCTTCTTTGGGTTTTACTTTTTGTTCTCATATGATAGGTGGACCTGACTGCATACGTGGAGAAGCATGAATTTTGTTTTGATGCTGTACTGAATGAGCAAGTTTCAAATGATGAGGTAACAGTTTTTCTGTAGAGACTAAAATTTTCCATGTACACAAGTGTCTAAATGTTACCTAATTCCTTTAGTGTTGAGGATAGTGTTGCATATTGGGCACGGTCTGTTCCTCTACGATTGTTTATCAGTTCGACAGAATAAGTTTGATGACTTTAAATGCTTTTTGGAACAGGTATACCGGGCTACTGTAGAACCAATCATTCCCATAATTTTTGAGCGAACAAAGGCTACATGTTTTGCTTATGGTCAAACAGGTAGGTTGTTCATATGATCTTCCCTTTTAATACACTACATGATTATCAGCTTATCCTTGTTGATACTTTATTCTTTTCCATACATGTATTAGACAGTCATCAAAATGCAGTATCTTTTCATTGGTTGAGTTATTAATTGTACTGAGCTTGTGATAAACTGGAGTTTAGATCTGAGACATTATATTAGTGGTTTTACTTAATGCTATGTGATCCTTTTCAACGAAGTTAAATGTCTGCATTGTTGAAGTACTAATGAGGTTTGAACTATAGGTAGTGGTAAGACATTCACAATGCAACCGTTACCTATCAGAGCTGCAGAAGACCTCGTCAGATTGTTACATCAGCCAGTTTACCGTAACCAGAGATTCAAATTGTGGCTTAGCTATTTTGAGATATATGGTGGAAAGCTCTTTGATCTTCTCAGTGATAGGAAGTACATCTCTTTGCTTCATTGATTCTTTTATTTTGACGTTATGAACATATTCAAGTTCATTGTTTAATTTTTTTTTTCTTTTAAATTTTTAAATTTAAATTGCTATTATATTCGAATGGGATTTGAACCCAAGATCTCGTTAGAGGAGGTATAGGCTTGTAGATACTTTGGGGAATAGGCTATGTTAGTGCATTATAATAGTCTGATGAGTAAAAAGGTTGGGTGCAAGTTAGATTCTGTGGAATCATTATGGAATTTGGGTTCTGATTATGTGCAATTCTGGGTTCAACATGCATTGTGCATCATTTTCTTTTATATGCAACACATTTCTTTTCGTGTCATTTAGACATAATGTACATATGTATATGTATATGTGAATTTTGATTCACTTGGCGGTGTACTTCTATAACTGTGTTATGACATGAATGACTTCATTCCTTTACAATAGGAAACTATGTATGAGAGAAGATGGACGACAACAAGTTTGCATTGTTGGACTGCAAGAGTTTGAAGTTTCAGATGTACAAATTGTTAAAGAATTTATTGAGAGGGGGAATGCTTCTAGAAGTACTGGTTCAACTGGTGCTAATGAGGAGTCTTCTCGGTCTCATGCTATTTTACAACTTGTTGTTAAAAAGCACACTGAGGTAAAAGATTCCAGGCGAAACATTGATGTAAATGAATCTAGAAGTGGGAAGGTTGTGGGAAAGATCTCTTTTATTGATCTTGCTGGTAGTGAAAGGGGTGCCGACACCACTGATAATGACCGACAAACAAGGTAATCTTCCAAGTTTATCATTTTTTTGGGATGTACCTCTTCCATCAGGATAATGCTTCTTAGGCTATGAAATAAACCCTTATTGTTTTTCACATTCATTATAATGCAAATGTTCTATTGGCATGATGATTTACTTACTACTGCAGTTTCTTTAATTAAAATGGGTTATTGCAGAATTGAAGGAGCAGAAATTAACAAGAGCCTTTTGGCGCTTAAGGAGTGCATTCGTGCCCTGGACAATGATCAGATCCATATACCTTTCCGTGGAAGCAAACTCACAGAAGTGCTCCGTGACTCCTTTGTTGGAAATTCAAGGACTGTTATGATATCTTGCATTTCTCCAAATGCAGGGTCATGCGAGCATACACTTAATACTTTGAGATATGCAGATCGGTATGCTTTATGCTATTGTCAACTTAAATAACTCTAATGACTTTGCTACTGGCTAATGATTACACTTATGTTTCAAACTAAAAGATTATTTTAAACAAACAGCGTGAAAAGTCTTTCAAAAGGTGGCAATGCTAGAAAGGATCAAACCGTAAATTCATTACCACCAGCGAATAAGGATGTTTCATTAGCATCTTCTACACTGGTTTCTTCTGAGGTAGAGGATGTCCGTGAGCAACATCAAGAAGTTAAAGTAGCTGATACAGGTAGAAGAGCTGTGGAGAAAGAAAGTTTCTCATATATCCCTCCTACTCCAGAGTTTGACAAGCAGCCAGCAAAGTCATCATCAAGTAATCCCATCAATGTTCGGGAAGAAAGTGGGGTGCCTTCTGGTTCAATGGACAGGGAGAGATTTGAAATGAATAATTCATATGGTGATAATTACAGTCAGAAGTTGCCCAATTATTCTAAAAACTCGGTTGATACAGAAGAGAGAGTACAAAAGGTGTCGCCACCTCGTAGGAAAGTAACCAAGGATGAAAAATCAGAAAGGTTGGGGAACTGGCCGAAAAAAGGTGGTTCGGATCTTTCCACTACAAGCTCTAAGCAGCAAAGTACAGGAATTTATAACGCAAGCAATGCTGGATCCAGACAATCTGAGCCTGAAGTTCCTGATGGGAATATCAATGCCATTCTTGAGGTTGGTACTCTGTGGCCTCACTCATTTTAACTGTGTAGTTATTTTTTAAGTTCTCCTGCACCCCCTGCTAATTTTTAGAGTTCTTTCGACTGTTTAGGAGGAAGAGGCCCTTATTGCTGCCCATAGAAAAGAAATTGAGGATACAATGGAAATTGTTCGCGAAGTAAGTGAAAATTTTCATCTTTTGATTTTAAAGATAGTGATTTTCTATTGGCTATTATCAGTCGTGCATAACATGCAAACTCTCCGTTTTAAGTTATTGTTTGGTTTTGTACGTTCATGAACTTTGAATGGCATTTTTTTTTCATCTTTTCACATGGTGCTCATCCGTGTTGTTTGGTTACCAGGAAATGAAACTGTTGGCGGCAGTGGACCAACCGGGAAGCCGCATAGACGACTATGTGACCCAGTTGAATTTTGTTCTTTCCCGCAAGGCAGCCGGTCTGGTTAGCCTTCAAGCCCGCCTTGCAAGATTCCAGCACAGACTAAAGGAACAGGAAATACTAAGTCGGAAAAGAGTACCTCGTTAAGGCAGGCACCTTCTTTCGCTGCACACTGTATCTTGTATTGTAATCTGAACTCTCGTATACATGTTCGTTTTCATTTTTTAAACGGGCCCCTGGTGGAAAGGATTTATAGTAAACTGCATCCTTGTTAATTTCAGCTTATTCTTTCGTGTTATGGTCCCGGTACAGTTGCAAAGCAGGAGGCCTGTGGGGGAGGATTTGAGGCATTGCAGACGCCGGACTTTGTTCACATCCAGACTTCTGGCTTGAAGCACGGGAATGGGGATAGGATTCGTGTCTTTTGCCGGTAATTTGTGTTTTCTTTTGTAATTCTTTAGATAAGTCCGTCGATGTGTTCTTGCCGAGTTCCTCTGGATTTTGGATTTCGGCTGTTGTGTAATGGTGACCGGGGATTTGATTGCACAATGTATTTTCTAGTAAAGGAAAAAAAAAATGAAAATATAAGGTTTATATTTTATTTTGTTTGGTTTTTACTGTTCCTCGAGTACCCATGTCAGAGAGCTTCGTTAAGGGGCTTGCAACTCGAGTGCTAAAAACGCGTTTACTCTTGCATCCGAGGTTTTGAGCCCGTTTCTTTTTACCACAATTTTAACCACTCGAAGGGTTTCAAAAGCACTTGAGCAATGGTTTGAAGGTGCCTTTGAGTGGCTATATTTCTAAATCTTGGAAAACAAAACAGAATATTAGCATAACTGAATTCCCAAATCATTAGCAAGTTGGGCAAAACAAACGAAACCTTTGTTTTATAAATAGATATATTTCTCACTAAACTTATACAATTGTTAAACCAGTTGGATCAAGATACAAGGACCAAAAAGAAACCTGCAGTCTAGGATTTGTTCGGGCTCTCAACATTTATGTCATAAATCAAGGTTCCCACTTGTATTGTATATACAAGTAACTATTTCCGCATCGTGCTCTGATAAGCCTTTAGACTTACAGGACTCACCTCACCAGGACAACTCTCAAATCACTCAAAAAAAATACGAAGCTGGCACGACCGGCAATAACACTATGAATCAAATGTAGACATTGATGGGCACACCTACCTCATGATAACATCTATTGGTCGCTAATCGCTAATTCTTGATTGGTACAACAGCATGTCAAAAGCTTGCTTCGTAGACGCAATCAGTCTGCTCTCAATTTCAGGATCTCCTTCGCTGTTCTCAATCGAAAATATGGCATGTGTTCCTGCAATGACAATAAAAACAGGGTTGAATCATACTAACTGAAAGTTGTTCAGCAGAACGAGGAATGGTTGGTAGTGCGAGTTTTTCATGGAAAACTATCCAAGAGCAGGCCATACATGAGCAGTTCATTCTATTGCATACTACTACAAGAGGAAAGAACAAGAAATAAAAGGAGCCAGTACCGAGATTCTTCCCCCTAGAATATTGGCTATAATTTCCCATTTTAAAGGTTTGAATGCATGTGCAGTCAAATAAATATGAATTAGTAACAGAAGCATCTCTATACGCGTTACCTGTTTGAAACAGAGCCCAATATCCCTGCTATAAAAGTCAGCATATTTAACCATGAAAACACCACAGTCATACCTGTTATAAAGAAATTGATCAGAACAATTAATTATAAAGAGTTCGCAAAAAAAAAATATCAATAATAATTTCCAGCAAGTGTCAAGACATGCAAATGTTAGCCTACCCATTCTCCTGCTCAGGAAGGTTGTCAACATATTCTAATTCCCAAGAACTCAAATCGATATCCTCTCCACTCTTGTCCTTCACTTCATCAACATAGTATTTAGCCTGCAAATATACACAGTGAACGTTAACTGCAACTCAATTGATTGAATGGATTTACTACTTTTCCTACCATTTTCTGAGGGCCTGCCATAAGAATCGAGAAAAGGAAAAAGAAAAAGATGAATAAACTAACAGGTGGGCCTAATATCTTCTGGCCTACACAGAATATACTGTTTTTCTTTTGGCCGTCAAAATGAGGCAAATAAACAATAGTACCGGATGGATCAGCTAAATGAACAAAAGGGAAAATAGTTGATACTTCTAACTATGATGTTAAAATCGAAGTTCTGACAAGCCATTGTTTCCAGAGATGTGATGTCCATATAGACAGTGGTGGAGCCAGAACTTCATATGGGTGGGCAGACAACCTAAATTTAGTAGCCATTTCCTAAAACTGCACAATTCAAAGCCATATACCTTGAGGTGGGAGACAAGACCACTAGCAGTCTTAACATTGAGACGGCCTGGTAGCCATAGTGTTCAAAGGGTTGGTTGGGAAATCATTATGTGCAACTACGTAACAAATGAGAAGTGTATTGTCTGCACTACTTTTCGGCCTTCAAGCTTCTAGACAATTAATTCAAATATCACTTGCCACCAATTAAGATTTTTTACTATGAAGAGTTAATTGATGGTAGATGATTGATGAAATGGTTGCTCAGACATCATGAACACTAAAATGTTTCTGAGTGGAGAATGGCTTTGGATTCAATAATTTGATGTGCAGATTGCATACCACGTTAAGAGTGCAGGGAGGGACATTCTTCCCAAGTTCCACAGGCAAGGCTGACAATATGATTTTATACACTTTTTAAAACCCAGACAGTTCCCACAGATGGTTTAGAAAAGAGTAGCAGGAAATTATAAGGTACTGACAATGGCAAGAATTGTAGTATTATAAAAAAAAAAAATACCAATGTCCCATACCCCTTACCACAAAAAATAAAATAAAACAGGTGTTATCGAGGGTAAGCACCATGCATCAATAAATTATATCAACAGCCAAACAAAAGATGACTACAAAACGTACCAATATTCTCATCACTTGGGTATCCCTTCCCTTGAGTGAATCAAGATACTGTAACTTCTGATCTACCTTGTTAATAACTGCCAAGCACCAATGTATTTCCTTGTGGATGGGGACAAATATCTGAAAAGAAAACCACTTATGAAATAAATGTGATTTTAGTAGAATTGAGTATATGGTGTAAGGAAAAAGGTTTGATTAAAGTTACTTTGTCGCAATCAATGAGGTAGTATCCCAGCTTTCTTTCGGTAGTCCACCTTCTGACAGATTTATAATCATAGCCACCTTTCCCACTTATCAACTGCACATTAAATTTCAGAAAAATAAGAGCATGGAAAATCTTAAATCGGACAGCAAAGATGGTACCCAATCTAGGCAAATTATTACTAGGAGTGTGAATGCACGGGCTGAGTTGACAGGCCTTGCCTGCAGTTAGCCTAATGAGCACATGGCTGAGCTCTCAACCCAGCCCAACTTTAAGGCCTAAAGTTGATCAAAATGTAATATACGTAAACAATGGGACAAACAACTGGGGCATTTCGGGTCAGGCTTATATCAGGCTGATTTATTTTCTAAACTTCAAATCAAATGTTTTAAATCAGCCACAACTTGTCCTAAAGATCGATGAAATTGCAGCACAATGTGACCAATTGAAAATAAACTGGAATTAGAGCTTCATGTATTAACATTTTCAAAACATAAATTGTCTCGACTCTCAAGGAAGTTTCATAAATCAAGGAGTGACTATATAATTCATAATAGTGCGCACTTATCTAGACAAGAAACTAATCATATCAGCAAATATTTGCCAAACTCTTCTGACTGTAAAAAAAAATAAAAAAATAAAAAAATAAAGAAAAGAAAAAAGAGAAAAAGAGAGAAATAAACAGGATATGTATATACAAATATGTGCCGAGAACCATGACTAAAAGATATAAGAAGACTACATGCAAATTACAAACCTTTGTATAGAAAAATGTGTTGAAGAAGTGACATTTTAAGAACTTTTGTGGTTCTCTCTTCTCCCTCTCTTTCAGCAATTCAAGGTACACGTTTATGACCTGAAAGCAAGAAAGTGCACGTTATCAAGAAACTAAATTACCAGTTTGGTAAGCCCGTATAAGTACACATCAACCATTAAAAACAAAATCTAATGAAGAAACTTAATCTTCGTCATTGCTAAAAAAAAAAATGTAAATACGTAACCTAAGAATACCTCATCCTTCAACCACGCGCCTGGTCTAAGGCACTGCAGAAGTTCACCTCTTATCTCTATGTTTGAGTTCTCATGAGTTACCAAGATCCTCTTCCTGTTGAAGGAACCCCAACAATGTTATAGTTTACCATACACCAATTTTAAAATGAACCAATATATATGCATAAATCCATACCGGTTGGAGGAAGAAAATGCTTGCTCAATCTCCGCCACTTCCTCCTTTCTAAGAGGGACAAATGGTTCAACAGGCACAACCTAAAAAGAAATGGGAATAGCTTATTAAGACTCTCAACCACATAATTCGTTACCAATCATTACTTACAGGTTGATACAAGCTTTTTAACTTTAGAATTAGTAACAATTCTTCAAACTACATACCAAGCATATCCCCAGATAACCAAAGAAATGAAAATTATACTTTATCGTTAATAACAGGTAGAAAGTTAATGCAAAATGATAAAACATTCACCTCCACTGGTTTCTTTTGTGGACGCAGCGATTCAAGCATAGACCGTTTCTTCCAATGGAAGTCAATTTGGACATCCAAATATTTCAGTTTCGGAGCCCGCCTCTCTACACTCTCAATCAACAGCTTGTATGCTGCCTTACTTGGCACACCCGCCTCACGATTCAGCGTCAGTGAGTCCAACATCTTCCCTGCACTGTCCTCTTTGAAAGCAGTATTCGTAGTTGTGGTCAAGTCTGAAACCACTGAAGAAGCCGATGGATGAGTAGCCTGAGTTCCATAATCCACCATCTTCGTATCCAATTCCTGCCCATAATCCACCACAGAAGGCCCTTCTTGGTCATCTTCCTCTATAGCCACAACTTCTTCTATGCTTGAATCCTCGGAAACCCGATCATCTTCAACCTCCTTATCCAATTCAATCACCTCCTTGTCCTTGCTCGAATACCGAAAGGCATCGAAGGCGGCGTTCTTTGCCTTGTCCAAACGGTTACTCGGTACATTGCCCATCGACCGCTCTTCAGGAACCCCTCTAGTTTTCGGACTCAAACCACGAAAGGACCCGAATTTTTGTGTTCTGCAAGGGGCGTGAACTCTAGGCAATGGGGGCTTTATATCCGGGTACCGAGAGAGCCTCGAACTGGCGCTTTTAGACGAGACGATGAGTTGGTTCGGGCTCTGATTCACGTGAGACAATCTGGGTCGCTTCGAGCTTTGAAAATTAGGCAAATTCGGAGATGGGTGCGCACAACTGAAGCTCAAACACTCGTCCCCTCGCTTACGGTTGCTGGTTAGCGCTCCCATTGATAGACCCGGAGCTCAAAAACCCTAGAAATTCACATCTCATCTGATGAAAACCATGTTAGGGCAAGCAATCACCTGGCGAAACTTAAAACCCTAAATGTAGCGCAATCGGAATTCAAAATTAGGGTTTTTGGAAAGCAGCGAAGAGGGAAAAGGGGGGAGAGAATGGTTCGATTGGAGCTTGTTGAAATCGGAAATTTGAAGGGAGCAAAAACCCTAGAAACGCACCAGAAAATCTGTGGAGACAAAAGTGTTCCCGCTTCAATGAAGGGGTTGAGTAGAATTTTTTGATTTTGTTTGGTTGGAGAGTAATTTTAATTTTGACGCAGTTTGTGTTGGGATCAGCAATTCCCAATTTTGCTTGTGTGCTTTTTACGAAACTTTTCGGTTTTAAGCCCGCTTATTACTATGTAGTGTATTATTTCTCACTTAAAAATAAGAAATTTTAAATTTGAATCACATAAATAACGAATACGATACCAAATTAGACTGTGTATTATATGGCTTAACCGAACATCCCTTCGTTATAATGTAAAAATATAAATGTATTAAAAAAATTAGAAAAAGCAGCATGTGTTTTAAAACACTTTAAAGGTTTTTTAAAAGAAGCACTGTATATGTGTTTTTTGCATGAAGTTTTTAAAATGTTTTTCAAAAATCTACTTGGATTTTTATTAAAAATTAATTTTAAAAACATTTTTACTAAAAACGTTTTTAATTATTTTATAAACATTTCCAGACAAACTATACATTAAGAAAGAAAAAAAAAAGACTCACCCATAAGTTTTAACAACTTCCGTCTTGACTTTCTTAATGTTTACGAATAATCAGTAGTTCAAATCTTAACAAGTAAATAATAAATTAATTAGGAGAAAAATTAGTTTCGAACTAATTTCTAACTTGGTTGATCATTAATTATATAAACATGCCTACTTGAAGAAATGTGTATGAAAATCGTATACGTTAAAGAGCAAGTGCGAAAGAAATTTTTCATTATATTATGTGATAAACATAATTTTATGGCTCCGTGTTTTCGATTTGGCTAATTTAGTCCTCGTATTTATCTCTGTTAGCCAATTAAGGACATTTTATTTTATCTCTATTAAAAAGTTCATAAAAAAAATTATAAGAGATATAATTACCTTTTCTCCTTACAGAAAAATGATTTGAGAAATAACACATATAAGAGATAAAACTTCCAATATGAAAAAATGATTAAGGTTGTGATATAGAAAAGAGAGGGGGTAATGTTAGGGTCGGGAGTTGGGAGGATAATAAATTTTCTTTTAATTTATTTTATTTCATTTCATTTTAGATATTTTAAATCAAGTAAATTATTTTATAAATAAGTTTATAATAATTTATAAAAAAAATTTTTACAAAAATTAGATAAAAATGTCCTTAATTGGCTAATAGAGATAAATACAAAGACCAAATAAGCCAAGTTGAAAACAGATGGACTAAATTAACCCAATGACTAAAACATAGGGACACAAAATGTTTTTTATTTTTTTTTTTTTTTTTTTTGGTCGAAGCACGAGGCATGTATCTCAATATATGCAGGGAGTCAAAACTATTTAGTACTACAAATATGAACAGTCATGATTGAATTGGAGAAATATTACTTTTGACAAATATTTTTACTTGTCAATCTAATTGATATAAAATCGGACCATCCAGTAGTCCGAAAACCTTGAAATATTGGATGCTTACCAAGTTCCTTCACGTGAAAGAAGACAAGAAAAGTGAGACGAGAAATTTGGTTGAATGTTGCTCAATAGATATAGCCATAGGTTTGAATAGACGTCTAGCAGCCGAACAAGACCGCTACTAAAACAAACATCGAATGCTACAGAACTCACCTGTACCCTTTTGCATCAGTGAACGTAAAGATTGCAAGTCTTCGCTGCTCTCTAAGCGCGAGTATAAGCACGTAACAAAGATCGAAAGATGTATCAAATGCCCACCCGTAATCCAACAGATAAAATACATTACATAGTCCACTTAGGACAACACCACACATACAACGAGATAGGTGAATATTTGACTAGCTAGCATAGCATTTGAGGTGCGAGCTTAACCAAATCCACTGCACACATTGTTTACTCAAACATTCGAAAAATAATACAAAGACAATTTTTCAAGGGAAAGGACTTTAACACACCATTTTTCTCCACATGCACACCCCACGCCTGTTACCGACTGTTTGATCAAACGAATACAGAAAATCAACGAACAAAACCAAACAGAGGATGCAAATGGAGAAAAATGGTGTGTAAACATTTCCCTCTTTCTTTCCCTCAATACAGTATTTCTTCGCAAGAGAATCTTAAATAAACAAAAGACAACTACTTGTCAACACAGCAAAAGGTCCAATTGTCACCTCGTATGTCGAAAGCCAACTTATTCGGTTGTGGCTTTTATCTGAAAAATAAGAAAATATCTGTGTCAGCAAGGAGGATAGTTACCATCATGTTCCAGATAAATTTACCATTGAAACTACCTCTGTATAATTCATTATTCATACAAGCTGTACAACAGCAGCCACTCTTAGGGCCCCGTTTTGGAGAAGATCAGCAAGCTCGTCAAACAGCAGAGCCGATCGCCATCCCCAGCCCTTGGGAGCTTTTGGTAAAAGCGTGCCTGTTTGCTTGAAACTCCCAAACACCATGACTTCCCTCTTTGATGGGCAAATTAACTGCATCATACAGGTATATGAAGCATGGTTTCAATATACAAGGTTCTGGCGTAACATGAAAATGGGCTAAGCTGACAATGTTTGGTCACTTTGGAATGTTACCTGATAGCGGGCAGTAACCTTTTCACGAGAATCAACATACATCTGCACCTGTTTTGGGCATAAACCGTAAAGTATCAATTAACAACTATATGAGTCACAAATGCTGAAAAAGGGTGATCCCTTAAATGTGAAGATAAGAAACATTCTTCTCCATAACTGTGAAGATAAGAAGCATTCTTCTCCATAACTAAAATAACCCAATCATGCTCGAACAATCAAGGGAAGGCTAGCTAACCTTTCTGAATGAATCAGTAATCTCTGCCTTACGTCGGTGAATAAATAATCCTGAAATAACAAATATATGATATGCATTCAGCTTAAGCAACAAATTTAAAATATAATTCAGGAAAGCAAAACAACATGCTTCCAAGGTATATATCATTAAGCCAGGAACAGTACCAAGTGTTCGACGTCCTTGAGGATCTTCATCATTAAAAGCCTGAACGCTAACCTATAAATTGGAACAGAAAACACAATCTGTCTGAGAGCATGGAAATTGGAAATCGGACAAGCATCACCACATATGTAAATCTTATATCGACAAGAACAATAAGTTTGTACTCAAACACCTTCCATAAAGAACCAGCATAAAAGACTTCTGAAGAATGCTTCACTTGGCCATCACTAAGCCTGTGCACATCCTCAAATTGCACCCTGTAAAAAAAGGGCGACTTGTAATTAGTAGGATAGACAATTGAGCATGATGACCAATCATTACATCCACGTTATAATATTGTTAATGACATTCAGACTTGAGCAGATTCAACTCAACCATCCTCACACACACAAAATCCAGTTCCAAGCAGAAAGGAATTGCATAAGTAGATGTGCAAAAGCACTGATATAATTAGGTAATCAATTTGTAAAGGAGACTTTTGAGCTAGTAGATCATAGGACAGCATCCCAAAAAGAATGTATGATTCTTATTTTCCAAAGAGAGTTCAAAATCTAAAGCGCAGGTGGAAAGGAGTAATGGAAAGAGCTCACATACCCAAAGCGGAAAGGAGGGAAGTGACTTAAAGGTGTTTTCATATCCAATGAGATGGAAGAACTGCTTGCATTATCCCACTCAATCCCAAGCGCATGGTCTGACGACTCTACCATCTGAATGGGTACACCACTAGTACTTGGCACTGACATGGACGTTCCAGCCATTCTGCTTTGCATATCCATCTCATAGCCTCTCTCTGTTTGCTCCCCATGAGAATTAGCTACATTGTTCCCTCCTTGGCTTAGCCCAACTAAAGCTGTTAATCCATCTCCAGACAGGTCCCCATTATGGTCAGCTCTAGCCTCTGAATCATCATTAGCAAGAGACTGCTGGCAATTTCTGTTGCCCATGCCAAATGGCACACGGGAAAAGACAAACCGAGTTGGAGGCCAGGCAGTTGCTGGTACAAATGTAGTTCCGCGTCCGATACCAGCAAGCCCATCAATAGGACCCCTGACATGCACACGTACAGGCCTAAAGAGACCATTTCCTTCACCTGCAGCAGACTCAGCAACATATACACCAGGAGAATTATTCTGATTATGCTCTTGCATGTAGTATCCGGTAGTAACTCCTTGTGAGAATGAAAATTGCTGTCTGCAACTGCACGCTATACTTGTAAGACAGCAATTTTTGCACGTATCAGCACCAACTTCTTGGACTCTCTGGCTTAAAAGCATCTACATGATTGCATACCAAACAATTAAGTTAGTAAAAAAATAAACAGATAGGTTTTCTTTGCGACATATTGATATTTAAACACACAAATAAACAAATAAGACATCTCTTCAAAAGCATAACCACGGGCAACAATGTGTGTATGGAAGAAAGAGATGCCTGGCTTTCTCATGGTGAGAGGTGGGCAGAGAGCCCTTGCAGTCAGTCTGCCAGGGCCTGTAAAAATAGTTTCTTCGACTGAATCAATTTATCAGCACTTTGGTTTATAAGATATTTTTCCAAATGGTTAACTATACCAATTAATAGGGATACCATGTAAGAAACTGTAATGATTGCTCTTTCATTTCCCCCACACTTGTATAGCAAAAGAAAGATGGAATTAAAAAGAAAACAGATATAGAAAGAAACCTGCAGCCAAAGACCATCGTTTACAGCTTTGCAGGGGAACCCCAGTTCCTCAAGTTGCTTTCGTACATTCAAAAGTGCCTCAAAAGACATATTGCAGTATAAAAGAGATCCGCCTTCAAATATATTAACAAATGCATCATATTCCTCCCCACCAACCCCAAAGTTCCCTTTAGCATAACCTTTAACCTGTCTTCTCCCTACAACCCTGCCACCCCATGAAAGAGGAGGCATGCCACATCTTCCCCAATCATTTGGCATGAGCTCACTAGTGGAAGAGTTCATTGAAGAGCATTGCCTTGACTGGTCCCTGGCAAACCAACTGTTGTTATTTAAGTGATAGCATGATCCTTCATCAGATGGCCCTTCCATAGCCACTCCATTTGCCCCCAGTCTACTTGCTCCAACACCAACAGGCATTTCAGCATAGCATGAGGTTCTCATGACATCTATTTCCGATAGTGAATTTTTTAATGATGAAGGACCACCCATGCTGCAGTTGTATCCTGGCTCCAAATTGGATTGAGGGTCCGCAACTTGTTGGACTTGCTGTTTGGAATTTGAAACTCTTGTTTGGAAATCAACCACACAGTCTGCAAGCTCTATCAAAAGACTACGAGCAGTATTATGGCCCTCTACATCATCTTTTATAGTTAAGCGCCCGACTTCAGACTCCAACCTTTTGTTAGCGAAGCTATCAATCAGATTCTTTCCCTTTGCGTTAGAAGAATCAGATGGAGTATCCGTTCCTGCCTCAGAACTGGAACTTCCATGATCATAGTCTTCCTGTTTGCTTTGAGCACCTTTTGCAAGGAATGCATAGAATGCCAGCTCAAACCTTTCCACAAAGGAAAAATAAAGAACACATCAAAAGGAACTCAAGCTGTAATTAATAAACCCGAGTTAGAGGCCGTCAATGCTCCTTACCGTTTCTCTTCACTGGGTACCCAGAGCTCATCAGAGGTCAGCAATGCAAGCAGGGTTTGAGCTGAAAGTTTTGGAAGCACCTGTCCATGACCATGTCAGGAAATAGAATATGTAGCAGTAGGTTTGCATTAACAAAACTGAAAAACCTTAAAATATACTTAATCCTTATAAAATCAAATAAACTGAGTCATTGACAATGGACAGATCCAAGAGAGAAGAAAAAATTGAGCTATGCTATCATAATTAAATAAAATAACAGAGCTTAAGCCATATTTTTCTAGACTGGGTAAGGTTAAGTATGCTAATATTACAAAGAAAAACAAATATATTCCTTCGGCATCCACTGTTTTTTCCTTCTCTCTCATCTTTTCTTATGTTGTCATGTTATATGATCTCAAAGGAAAACAGAAGGAAGAAGAAAATGTGAGCAAAACCCACAAGTGATTACTACAAAATAAGCACACCATCTTTTACCTCTTTCAACTCCATGGAACCACTTTGACAAAGGTAGCCCCAGCAAGCATTTCTTACCCGTTCTCCATGTATGCCATAATCTTGGCTCTCCGCGAACACCTAAAAGCACAAGTAGACATTCTCAATTACAAAAGAAAATGGTAGCATGTGGGTCATACATAAACAAAGAAGCGGCACAAGCATTTTCAAACCTGATAGGCTAAGAAGTTTGAAGTCCATAATTCAGATATAATGAAGTCTGTGCATATTGCACATAAATCCTGCATCAAAAGAACATCAAGCCGTAACCTAAATGCACATAAAGGGACGGGACTTCTAGAGTGGAAAAGAAAATAGTCACGCAAAGTAAAAGAAGACATCAAAACGAGAAAATGATACCTGAAGGTCAAGAAAAGAAGCGGCAGCCAAAACACGAAATGCATTGTTATCATTAAGCTTGGGGTGGTGACCGTACAGATATGCCAAAGCCATTGCAATTGCTTCTCCGTTAACATTCTTATCGTCAATATGTAAGGTTAAAACAGGGGCACTGGCTTCTTTCCAAGGTCCATGAAGCATGTTTCTGCCAGACACATTACAGTCCAGCATATGAAGATTGCACAAGGTGATTAGTCACCTAATTGCTACATAATTACGCGTGCATTATCGAAAACAAAAGTAATTTCACCAACTCCCCATTGCCAAGCTCAAGCTTAACAGTCCAAATGCTAATCTAGGTACTCTCCATATTTACATACATCCACATAACTAATCAAATTAACAATAAAACCCCACAATTATCAATTCAACATCATCCAACAACGCCGACGAAGCCGGCGAGGGGGCGAATTCAAGTTGCATTTTGGTAAATTGACAAAAGGGGTTTAGGGAATTTGGGACAACGGACCTGAAGTAGGGGCTGCGGGAGAGAATGAGGCGGTGGAGGTGGTAGGTGGAGCCCATGGCGTGGACGACCATATCGGAGAAGGCACCGGAATTGAAGCCCTCCGTCTGTATGTGGTCGCAGAGGGCGGTGAGGTTGCAATCCAGCGCGCGCAGCTCGCCGCTGGACCGGTCGTTGTCGGAGTGCTGCGAGGGCTGAATCGTCATTTTAATCTGCGGCCCGTACGACCGCGCCGGCTTGGTCGGGTATTGCGGGTCCATGTGAGCCGCAGCACCACTGGATTTTTTCCGATTGCGAAGTCTATGAGAGTGTCGATGGGAGTGAGAGAATGGTGTTAGGCATCAGAGAGACAGTGTTTGTTGATGCGCTGCCGTTGTTACTTGGTGTACACGAGAAACGCGACATGGATGGGCGTGGGTCGGATCCGCTTGACTTGACCCGTTTAGATCGCCCCGAACCATCTTCGTATATTGTGCTTTTTTGGCAATTCCACGCCCACGCACTCTAATTTTAGGACATGCTATTCACACATCCTATTGTACTTCTCACACATCCTTTTATAATTTTTGTTTATTGATCTTCTTCAATTCATCCGATCCGACAGTCAAAAATTAAAAAGGTGTGTGAAAAATAAAATAGGATATGTGGATATCACAATTCCCGATTTTAATGTCACTGTCAATATAGTAATAATGTAATATGGTAATCTGCGTTTGAATTTTGATTAAAATTCACTCATTACACATCACGTGACACGTGGGCCTTTCAAACAATTTTTTCAACATTGATGACCTAAGGTGAAAATCAATCATGTTGAACTAAACTCGTGCGAACATATCTTTTTTCTTTCCCAAAGCTCTAAAACAAAATTTAGATTTCAAAAGCACTTTAAGTATCAGTTACAAGGGTAGAAAAAATTACGTACAAAATTGGTTGTGTTGTAGTCTAGCCCAAATTTGGTGAATAATAAACGGTAGGTATGTTAGACACTACCAATTAGGTTTATATATTCATCGGAATTTTGAATTCGCTTTAGATACAGAGTTAGTGATGACAACTCAGTGAGAAATATGATGATATGTCATATTTCTTATAATACAAAATGTTGTCGTTTAAAGATTTGTCTAGCTTTGCTTTGCTATCCGGTTTATTTTTGTTAGGAAGCTGAAACCAAATGCCTAATAAAAAGGGTAAGGCTTCAATGCTACGTATCATCCAAGGTAAAACCAAAGCAACCCACCATTATAGATGGTGGGTTGTTTCATGGCCATCTTGTGGTCATCCGAGCTATCACCAAAATGCTTATATTTTATTAGCACTCCACATATTGTTGAATAAACCCTTTGAAAATCAAATACAACACCATTGTTCCTTAAGCGGCTCTCTCTCTTTGTTTCTCTCTAGAAACCCAGATCCCCAAGCTCTATCCCCAACTTCAAGCTCAGCCGCTGACCCTTGCTTTTGCTTGGGGTAGGCAATAGCCCGCTACTCTTTCTTCCCTCCTCGTTCCCTTTTTCCCTTCTCTCTCCTCTGCCTTTTCCATATATTTCCTTCGCTCTCATCTCATCTGCTCTATCTCCTTCCCTGCATCCACCTCCTATTTCTCTCCCCTTTCCAGTCTCCTTCCTTCGTTTTTATTCCTAATTTTCACCTGGGTTTATCTTAGTTTCCATTGAGTCGAGTCTCAACTATCCCCTGAGCTTGTCTTAGATTTGGGTTTCATGCCCTTTATTCGACGTTTTTTGCCTACTTTTACGGCTTTCTCTCTTTTAATTTTATTTCCACGTTCCTCATTAGTAGTGATACTCCATCCCCATCCCACCATGTACTCAAATTCGCGGGCTCCGATCCAAAATTGGATTCTAGATCAATTACCCTCCTTCACTTTCCCTCATTCAACCGGCATGTCGGATCCCTATCGAGGCCAAGTGTTAGGTATTTTACATACCCCCTTAGCCTCACTCTCTATCCATATGATATTTTGTTTGTATATATTTGCAGGGGTTTGTGAAGGGCCTTTGGATTTGGTGTCTATTCTCTCAGTTTGAAGTTTGGCTTCCTCCAAGGGTGTGGCGGCAGCGGCGGTTAGGGGTGGAAAAAATTCCCAAAAATCCCGAACCGAACCGAAAAAATCCCAATCCCAAACCAAAAATTTCCCAAACCGAAATTCCCGAAATTTTTGGGATGCTATCCCGAACCGATCCCAAAATTTCGGTATGGAATTCGGGATTGGCTTCTCAATATTTCGGGAATCCCATACCGAACCGAAAATAAATAATGTTAATTATTATATATATATTTATACATATATATATATTATTCTTTTATAATTGATGCTAGTAGTTTCTAATTCATGCTCTGCAACCTGGAATGCTCTACACCTTGCATATTTTTCATGTTCTGTTTGATATTCATGTGGATTTTATTATTGCTGCTGCCATGGTTGATGATTTCAGAAGACTTGATTCTTTTGTCTCTCAACAGATTGCAAAAATGGTTTAATTAATTTGAATTTTGACTATGATAAAAACAGTCAGGCATGCCAGTGTTCAATTAAATGGTAGTGTGAATGAAATGAAATTCCTAGTTCATGAATGTGTTCTTGAATTATATATTTGAAGAACAATTCATAATTTCATATTTCAATTTGGGATTCCCGATTTGTCCCAAAATCCCGAAAATATTTCGGGATTCCCGAAATTTGGGATTCCCGAAAATTTGGTTTGGGATTGGTCTTCAAATTCCCGTCCCAAAAAATTTTGGTTTGGGATTCGGGATACTAGTTTCGGTATGGTATCCCATACCGAACCACCCCTAGCGGCGGTCTGGTTTATGTTGCTCGAGACTAGGGTTTTTTGTTGTTTGTTATTGCAGCCTACGGGCCTAAGTTTGTAAGGGCCTCCCGTTGTATCTTGGGTTGCTACTCTCACTTTACTTGGGCCTTTTAGTTTATCTGTTGTAGTTTATCGGGTTCCTTTTGGGTTTTTTTAGAGAATTGTTATTAGCACTTCAAAAATCTTATTTAGCACTCCAAACTCTTTCTATGATTAGAAAGAAAAATACACTTGTAAGGAAAGTAATGTGATTTTTGGAGTGCTAATAACAATTCCCTTTTTATAAAGGAAACTTTAACGAAAAGCTCTCGATACTGTTCAATTTAATGAAAAATCACATTTTTACACTAAAAAGTCACATCATGGTACTATTCACTTTACCCTTTATTTTATCCTTATCGTTAAAACTCAAAGTTTTCAAGCTATTTTCATTAGTTTCCTTTTTATAAAAGGAAAAATTAGGTTCGCATCCCTCATTTTGCTATTTCATTGATTAAAACCTTATTCCTTTTCAATTTTTGATCAAGGTCATTGGGTATTAATAACATCATTAATTATTTTAATAATGATTTATTTTTATTTTTAAATATATTCCTTTAGTGTTCAAAATGTTATAATTAGTATATTTATATTTATGGCTAAATTTTTTATCATATATTTTTATTTTTAGTTTGGACCTATTTTTAATTTGCAAACCTTTTTAAATTTGTACCAATTTTCTTTTCAGTTTTACTTTGTACCCATATATTAATTTCTTTTTTTGCCCATATTTTTTAAAGTTTTATTTTGACACACCCCGACCGAGATCAGGGCGTGCTGGCCGTCACGCGGAGGTGACGTAGCCATGTGCACGCGCGGAAGCTAAAGAAAGTAATGTAAAAAGTACGAATAATTTAAAAGCTAGCATACAAAGTACTAAGACAAGTGCTAGCATAAGTGAAACGCTAAGTTCAGAGCAAGACTACAGCAGTCCAAAGAAAATGATACGACAATAGTACACCCGAAGGTGACCCTACAATGGTGAGTATCTGTCAGAAATGCCGGGACGCCCTCTGGGAAAACCACCGAACTTGTTAGACCACTAGAACCTGGAGAGGCGCAAAAACAAAGGCGTGAGTGGGCAAAAACAAAGCTCTTTGAAAACCATTTAACAAAATACATTCTAACCCCTCGCCGTAAAACCTGTATACTTCCCAGAAAAATAAACATATATACGTATGTATAAATATGCCAAACATGCTCAAGGGTATACCAATCATGCTCAAGAATGTGCCATGTCAAAGCCTCATAATGATATGCAAGTGCTCAGGTATAAATCACATCAATAACATAACATCTGGCAGCTGGAGTCACCTAACGTGACCTGTACGGCTGCATATAGAGCTCAAATCTCAACACAATAACTGAACAACTGAACCTGCCCACGAGTCGGAACCACCTAAAGTGGTCTGTACGACAGGACTGGGTGTAACGTATATGTACGCTCTAGTGCTACGATCACGTGAAGGCTGTGCGAATAATCGCGAGTCACCTACGAGTCGGAACCACCTAATGTGGTCTGTACGACAAGCCTGTGCACCTAGCTTGGATCCAAGCTGAGCATGGGGTGCAGGAGGTGAACATCACGTGAAGGACTGTGCCCTGCTCAGGGCGGGAGCACTAACACCGGGGGTGCAGGTTATGAGCTCTCTAAGCATCTCGAACTACTGCTGAATGTAAATATGAATAACATTTACCTGGCACTTACCTGTGCGTCCACAGCACCCAATACGCATATATATATGTATGCCACTACTAATGCATGTGATGATGCATAAACGACAATCATATGGTGCATGGCATAAAACAAATAACCCTTTTTATTTAATTTCTGGGAATATAAATGTATATAGGTATATACGGAAAACCAAAAGCCCACTCACTGGTAAGTGGAAGGGTCGTAGCCCCCTGCCTCGAGTGTGCATGCTCGTCCTCGGGATACGAATCACCTATATGCGAAATAGCTATGAAAACGTTAATTTAAAAGCACATAACCAACTTCTCGTAATAACTTCTCATACATTGCTCAAAATGGACAATTGAATACACCAACGTGCTCTACACAACCTCAGGATCACAACCATACTTTTAGAATAATTTTCCTCCGCCGCACGCGCCCCCACGCCGGCCAAGGCACGGCCACACGCGCCGGCCACGCGCAGGCACGTGCGGTGCACACTGACGGCGTCAACTGACGCCGTTAGGAATATTCCGTTAGTTTTGACAGATTCCGTTAACAGCGTCAGGAATATTCCGTCAGATTTGACGGAATATTCCGTCACCTTCTCCGGCGAGACTCCGGCGCCGGAAAACTGGGAAAACTTCAAACTTCATTTTCTCACTCGTTTCTCAACCAATTTTCATGATTTTTGAACCAAAATGAAGCTTAGGACTAGTAGAATCACGATATACCACTTTTAAAAGCTAAAAACCACGCGATCATACCTGTCCACACAATCCAAAACCGGCCAACTTCGAACCAAGCTATCCCGACGTCCAAACTCGTCCAACGAAGCACTCCGAGGCTTCTTGGGACCTCACTAAGACATCTACAAGCTTCAAAATCCCAAAAACATGCTAGATTAAGTTTGCATGAATAATACTCAAATCGGCCATTGTCGAATCGACGTGAAAACGTAGGATTTCTCACCTGAAAATGGTATGGTTGCACTCGCACGAGCTTCACGAGTTCGAAGGTGTCCTTAGTTTCCTCGTTCAGTGATGGTTTGAGGGGTTTTGGGTTTGTCCGTACAAGTTTGAAGGAAGAAGAAGAAATGGGAGCACGGGAGAGAGAGAGAGAGACAGACAGGGAAAGACAGAGGGAGAGGGAAACACGGGAGAGAAAGACAGGGTGTGTGAGTGTGTGACCCTACGCTCGCCAACACCACACAAAACAACACTAAACGTAAACGAAACGAACTAGGGGTAGAGTCGTAATTTCACACGTACGTTAATATGAATTTTGGGACGGGATGTCACATATTTGCATTTGTGCCCATGTGTTTATTGTCACGTGACATTGTATAATTAATCAATGATAGAAAAATTACATATGGTATATGTTTTATGGCTAAACTTTGTATCATATATTCATATTTTTAGTTTGTACCACTTTTAATTTGCAGCCTTTTTTTAAATTTGTAGTATTTTCTTCTTAGTTTTAATTTGTACCCATGTATTAATTTCTTTTTGAGCCCATATTTTTTAAAATTTCATTTGTACTCATATTTTTTTAATCTTTTATTTGTACCCTAATATATTTATAATGTACCCATTCTTGTACCACTTTGTTATAAGTGAAAAGTACCAATTTTTTTTTAACACTATGTCAATCAAAATGTTTGAATTTTTTTATTGTAGCCGTTTCTAATAGTATTATAATGAGAGATTTTAAATTTATAGGATTATAAATCTCATAAAATATCAAACAATTAATGTCAAAACTATAAAACTATAAATACTAATAGTAATATAATGAGGTATACAAAGTCAAGGGACTTTGATCAAACTTTGAATACCATTTAAGGTTTTAGTCAAAGAGTGTTAGAGATTAGGAACCGCATCCAAAGTATCCTTTTATAAAATGACTATGTAAGCATAATAAGATTTTAAAAGAGAAAATCCGCAAATATTAAGAAAAATGATATTATCACTAGGCAATTCAACCACATCAAATTTAGTAACAATTATTGAATTGTTTTGTTGTAGATGAAACTAAAGGAAGCCAATACGGTGGATGAGAAACCTAATGTTCTTCACCTAATGACACTTATGCAATCATCCTAATTGACTCTCAAACCAACTAAGGGCTTACCAATCATCTTATTTCCAACTAAGGGCTTACCAGGTGATTGAGAAGGATTTGAAAAAATCAAGGTATTATGCAACTGCACTGCAAGAAAGGAAAATGATCCCTAATTGACAAAAACCCCAAAATATATAGAAAACGAAACTTTAAAATCCATAATTGACAAAGAGTATGGGGTGCGAGGGTAATATTAGAAAATAAGTATGGTGTGTTAAGATAAATTTTAATTAAAAAGATAGATATGAGGCGTATAAAGCACGTGGGTTGTGGTCAACAAATTATGGAGTGTATTTACCAAAAAAAAAAAAAGGTTTAATTGGATTAATAGTTTATGTGATAATAAGATAGTTGGAAGATAGCCCTGTGGTAAAAAAAAAAATAGAATTTAAGCTTATATTATAAAGTTTGTTAGGATTTAAGACAAAAAATGAAAATTCCATCAAATTTTTGTTAATTATTAGCACGTGAGCTAGCCCCACATGTTAACAATTAACAGAAGGTCCATTTTAGCCTAATATTTGTATGAAGAGTTGATCAATTTTGAATATAAATCCTAACAAACTTTACCACAAGAGCTTAAATCTCTTTATTTATTTATTTATTATTTTTACCACATCTATCTTCCAACTACCGACTGTCAATCCAAATAGATAACAGAACAATACGCCGCCGTATATGTTCCTGTACCGAAACGCCGTGTTTTAGCACTATTTTCGTGCCATCGTCTTTTGCTCTTCTGATTTCCGTAGCAGATTTTGGGTTTAAACCTTAAACCCTAAACCTCCATTGCCCTGCGCTTCAAGATTGGCCGGTACGTGAATTTACAAGTACATAATATCTGTCAGAATTTGTTCTTCGGTTGATTGCGTGCTATTTTGTACTCTGAAATGTTCGGAATTTCGTGTTTCTGCAATCAAGCTCGGCCCTCACCAATGAATTAATTCCAATTTTCTCATGCTTTCTCATCAAATTTGAAAAATGCATGCAAAATCTCAAATATAGATCATTGGTTCCTAGTTCCTATGCATTCATATGAGTTTGCACATTAAAGTTGTAGGAAGCGTGGGACGTTCTTCCTTAATTCAACATTGTAGCTCAAGTGGTTACGAGCGTTAACCCGTGCAATCGGGGGTTCTGTGTTCGATTCCCCTGGCCCAGTATATAAAAAATATAACTAATATTGAGCTGTGTTCCTCTTGGCAGATGTTTTCATTTGCTTACTGGATTGCGCTTTTGGTGTTTACTATTTATGTCCCAATGTTTACACAACTTAGCTTACACTGTGTGATGTTTAAGTAGCGGTTTTCTGACATGGGTTATGTCTTAAACTTATTGAATTAGATATTTGGAAGGCAAAGAGCATACACGGTGATAGATTGGGCATGCATTTGTGAAGATGCTCCTAAGACAACAAGGTAATCTTGACTCGCATAGATTGTTTATTCTCGATTGAGTGAAGTGTTTTGGACTTTGGTATATTCATTGATCAGATAGATAATATATTCACAAGTCTCTTTGGCTTCAATGATGTTCGTCAGTTATTACTATTTGCTTGATCTTTTTCCTTGTTGCAGTTGCAGGGATACGACATGGCTTTCATTTGAACATTTACACATTTTCGAAAAGGTTTTCATCCTTGTCAAATGAGCCTCCGTCTGAAGAGAAAGTTGTGTCTTCGATTGATGTGAGACAAGTAGTTGATGATGTGTGCCGAGTCTTGGAGCGTGGTCCTTGGGGACCCCCCCTTGAGAATGCTCTATCGGCGCTTGACAAAACGCCTCAATCAGAATCAGTTATTGGAGTTTTAAGGAGGTTGAAAGATGTCAGTTTAGCACTTAATTATTTTCGGTGGTGTGAGAAACAAACTGACCAAGCACACTGTCCCGAAGCATACAATTCACTTCTCATGGTCATGGCCAGGAGTAGAAATCTTAATTATTTGGAACAGGTCCTGGAAGAAATGAGTGTAGCAGGAATTGGCCCATTTAATACCACATGTATTGAGTTAGTTGTGAGCTGTATCAGGTCACAGAAGCTGAAAGATGGTTTCAATCTACTGCAAACAATGAGGAAGTTCAAATTCCGCCCAGCATTTTCAGCCTATACAACTCTTATCGGGGCTTTGTCTACAGTTCCTGAATCTGATCTCATGCTGACTCTCTTTCATCAAATGCAGGAGCTAGGTTATGAAGTTACTGTGCATTTATTTACAACTATTATTCGTGTATTTGCCAAGGAAGGACGAGTTGATGCTGCCCTCTCCTTGTTGGATGAGATGAAGAGCAACTCTTTTAGTGCAGATGTTGTGCTTTATAATGTCTGTATAGATTGCTTTGGCAAGGTCGGTAAGGTGGATATGGCCTGGAAATTCTTTCATGAAATGAGAATGCATGGCTTGGTGCCTGATGATGTGACGTATACTAGCATGATAGGAGTTCTCTGCCAAGCTGCGAGACTAGACGAAGCGGTGGAGCTATTTGAGGAGATGGACAGACATAGGAAAGTGCCTTGTGTGTATGCGTATAACACCATGATCATGGGCTATGGCTCTGCTGGAAGGTTTGAGGAAGCATACAGCTTGTTTGAGAGGCAAAGAAGAAAGGGGTGCATTCCGAGTGTGATTGCATATAATTGTGTTCTCACCTGCCTAGGGAAGAAGAGACGAGCAGTAGAAGCGTTAAGGGTTTTTGATGAGATGAAGAAAGATGCAGCTCCCAATCTTCCAACTTATAACATTCTAATAGACATGCTTTGTAAGGCTGGTAACCTCAAGGATGCTCTGCAGGTTCGGGATGCCATGAAAGAAGCTGGCTTATATCCTAATGTTATGACTGTAAACATAATGATTGATCGACTCTGTAAAGCTCAAAAACTTGATGATGCTAGTTCTATATTTGAAGGAATGGATCACAAAGTCTGCACACCAGATGCAGTTACATTTTGTTCTCTTATAGATGGCTTGGGAAAACAAGGAAGAGTAGATGATGCCTATAGGCTTTATGAAAAGATGCTGGACGCTGATCAGACTCCAAATGCCATTGTATACACATCCCTCATCAGGAACTTCTTCAAATGTGGCAGGAAGGAGGATGGTCACAAAATATACAAAGAAATGCAGCGTAGGGGCTGTTCTCCTGATCTCATGCTTCTTAATACCTATATGGATTGTGTTTTAAAGGCCGGAGAAATTGAAAAGGGTAGATCTTTGTTTGGGGAGATTAAGACTCAAGGATTCATTCCTGATGTGCGAAGTTATTCAATCTTAATTCATGGCCTTGTAAAAGGAGGTTTTGCACATCAAACATATGAATTATACTATGCAATGAAGGATCAAGGCTGTGTATTGGACACCCGTGCTTACAACGCCATCATTGATGGATTCTGCAAAAGTGGAAAGGTGAATAAAGCATACCAGCTTCTGGAGGAAATGAAAACTAAGGGTCACCAACCCACCGTCGTTACTTATGGTTCTGTCATTGATGGTCTTGCCAAGATTGACAGGCTTGATGAAGCATACATGCTTTTTGAAGAAGCAAAGTCAAAAGGAGTAGAACTGAATGTAATCATTTATAGTAGTCTTGTTGATGGGTTTGGGAAGGTAGGTAGAATAGATGAAGCATATCTAGTCATGGAAGAGTTGATGCAGAAAGGTTTGTCACCTAACGTTTACACATATAATTGCTTGCTTGATGGACTTGTGAAAGCTGGTGAAATTGATGAAGCAATTGTCTGCTTTCAATCGATGAAAGATATGAAATGTACACCCAACCATGTAACGTATAGCATTCTCATAAATGGTCTTTGTAGGGTTAGAAAATTCAATAAGGCTTTTGTATACTGGCAAGAGATGAAGAAACAAGGGTTAAACCCTAATACAATCACCTACACTACCATGATCTCTGGACTTGCAAGGGCTGGGAACATAAGGGATGCTAGTGGGCTTTTTGAGAAGTTTAAGGCCAGTGGTGGCATTCCCGATTCTGCTTGTTATAATGCTATGATAGAAGGGTTGAGCAATGCAGAAAGGGCAATGGACGCATATACACTTTTTGAGGAAACTCGGCGGAAAGGTTGTAATATTCATTCCAAGACATGTGTTGTTCTGTTGGATGCCTTGCACAAGGCTGAATGCCTTGAGCAGGCAGGAATTGTTGGTGCTGTTCTTCGAGAAACTGCAAAGTCTCAACATGCGTCAAGATCATGGTAAAGTCGTGTGTCATGCAATTTACTGGAGGGATTTAGATGTGTCGTACTCAGTGAGTGGTGACACACAACTGACACAAGGTGCCTTCTCGTTCATTCACGTTGACAGAGAAAATATTGGGAAACGAGAGATTTTTTTCCTGAAAGGTCTTCGTCTCATCAATTTCTTAACAAGATTGAAGGCACTCTGTGGAGGTAATGAGACTTCAAATGGAGTTACTGAAATTCTATACATGTATCTGCAAAAAGAGTCATGACTTTAGGGAGCATGCCAACATGTTATTCCTCTGATTCACATTTGATAAAATGCTTTGATGAATTGAATGTTCGGGTTGTAACTTTTAAAATATTGGATTCTACTGTGTTGTACACGGTAAGGTAAACAAAAGCTGGGTGAATGACGTGCATGCATGATATGCACAATAGCTGGGTGAAATATGCATTTTTTTTCTGGCAAATATTGGCTTTTTTTCTTTCCCATTTTTCCTGTTGATGTGCTTCTGGCAGATTTTCGATTTCAGTGATTCTGAATTCTCAAAACAAACATTCATGTAATGATCTTGTGCAGCAAGTGTTCTATTTGCAACTCATATGCATCCCTTTTCATAATTTCTCAAGTTCCACAGGTACTTGCATTTGACTAAATACTTGTGGATGCAGGTATAGAGTATCAAATATGCAGGATGTCGAAGAAACCGAGTTATAATTGTAGCATTAACTTCAGTAGCAGTTATTCAGGAGCATGAGTTTAGCTTCGAGAACCATCGATGCTTTAATATAGTGTTTTGCCAATTGTTCAGGTTACCTGGTTCAGTTGAGAATTGCAGATGTGTGTTGGGAGTTGATGACCCTCACTGGTGGACGCCCGCCTCCCCAGCCATGAGAGGACCTTTATCGTTTGTTACAGTAGATGAAATCAAACTTTTGACCTAGAGAGCAAATTTTTGTGCTGTATGGCGAATTGCCTGTGTTGAATATGGTTGTTGGGCGCGCATACTGGTGAATAACCACACATTTTCCCTTCATATGAGTATGGTCTCTTATTTCGCAATTCAAAATGCTTTACAGTTTTTGTTATATAACTATGTAAGGGGCATACATTGCGGATTTGATGATCATCATCATTCTATATGCTGCTGGAAATTGTGAAAGTTGAACCTGCTTCATACATTGATCAGTTTGATTTGGAGGGTTTTTGAAATTTAATTGATTGCTTACCCCGTACCCTTGGGGGATATTGTGTCCCACCTCTCATGTGCGGCCCAAGACACAAGATTTCGGGTGCCTGGCCCTTACATGCGAGAGGGTCTTTTGTTTGAACACAAGACTAAGGGCAAAGACAGGGGTGGGACCAGAGAGTGGGCCATGGTCAGCCTGCAAATCAGAGAAGTACGTAGGAATTGCATAATTTGGATGCCGGATCAAAGAAGAGGGAAATTTTTTGTTTCAAAGTCGGAGGAATATTGTAATTCGATCATCGAACTTCAGAATTTCTCCTTACCCTAGGCCCCCAGACGGCAATTGCCTTTTCTCATGAGGACTTCCATAGTAAAAAACATCAACGTCATGCCACGTATCTTAGGGGGTGGATTTAATTGAGAATTTGAGAGAGTTTAATGGATTTATAAATCCATGGATTTTTATGGAGTTTAATTGATTTGTAGAGATTCTATATAAAATTTTGATTCAATTCTCTCGAAATCTCATATGGAGATGTGAGATTTGTGGATGCTTAAAATACACTACGAAATCTCTTCAATTCCATCTAATTCCTTAACTTTCTCAAAGTCTTTAAAATCAATTTCTAATTGAATACACCTAGAATGTTATAAACTTCTTTAAAATCCTAATTGAATACACCCAGATTTTTAAGGATTTTAATAAACTATCTTAAAATTCTAATTGAATACACTTTGAATTTCAGAGAATCGCTTAAAATCCTGATTGAATACTCCTAAATTCATTAAAAGAATTAAAATCTTATAAAATCTCAATTGAATACATCCGATTTAATACAGCGGACTCACCAGAGTATAATCCGTTTTGTTGAATGTGACCGTTACAAAGGGGAAAGATCCAACGGAGCTTTCTACGGCTTTTCAAAATTTAAAATTTAAAATTAAAAGGTAAACAAACAATTTCTTCACCTACTTTCTTTATCTCTATCACACACACACCAACCCTCATTCATCATCGAAACCCAGAGATTTTCAATCTCAATCTCACATCTCTTTCTCTCTCTCTTCTATCTTCTTTGCTCCATCACCGCGTTCGGTCTCCGATTTCAATGGCAATGGCTCTCAGACCCATCGACAATGCTCTCCCAACCACACCGGAAAGACCCAAAAAGCAAACCAAAGTTGCTGTTCCAATGCAAAAGCAGCAATCCGGCCTCGTAAATGACGAAAATCAGGCTCCGCTTCCTGCAACCGCGGATTCCGCCATCGATTACATCTCCTCTGAGAATCTCAAACCCTTCTCAGACCCGGATCTCAAGATCCAGGTAATTCTCTATCTCATCGGATGTCCCTTGCACGCGAATTCGACTCCCTTCGCCTGTGTATTAAAGTAATTTATTTGAAATTTCAGAGCTTGAGTGAGGGATTGGAATCAAAGGATTGGGTGAAGGTGTGTGAGTCTCTGAACAATGTTAGGCGTTTTGCACTCCACCACTCTGCTCTTCTGGCTCCTACTCTGTGAGTGCTTTTCTTCCTTGTTCCAACATTCGATTCTCTTCTGTAACAAGTCCACTAAAACGACGTCATTTTTGTATGGGCAGAGAGAATGTTGTAGTGGTGCTGGTGAAGGCAATGAAGAATCCGAGAAGTGCCTTAATCAAGACCTCGATTATGGCTTCTTCCGACATCTTCACCGCCTTTGGTGATGGTTTACTTGACTCCGCATCCTCTAATGCATTTGACCAATTGGTGTGTACCCAAACTTTTCTTGTTTTCTTAAATTTAGGGATCGTTTGACAACAATTTCGTTTTCATTTTTTTATGTTCTGATGAACGGCTTGGATTGTTCAATGGGTTCACAGCTGCTGCAATTGTTGCTCAAGGCATCTCAAGACAAACGTTTTGTGTGTGAAGAAGCAGACAGGGCACTGAGCTCGATGGTGCAGTCCTTGACCCCTCTTCCTCTGCTTCAGAAGCTCCGAGCTTACGCTTCCCATGGCAACCCTAGAGTCAGGGCCAAAGCTGCCATTTCCATCGCATCTTGTGTCGCCAAGATGGTATATACTATGAAACCAAAATGTTCTCTTGAGTTTTGACGTTGGACATGCCATTTTTCTTGTTAACCTTGTTACGGAAAATGGGATTTTGGTACCGATTTTCAGGGCCTTGAAGGAATGAAGGATTATGGGCTGGTTTCTCTGGTGCAAATGGCTGCAGATTTGTTGAATGATAGGCTGCCTGAGGCGAGAGAAGCAGCGCGGGGAATCGTAATGTCGGTATACAATGCCTATACAGAGAATGAAGAGGAGAAGCTGCGGGAGAATGAAGAGGAGAAGTTGCGGGAAAATGAAGAGGAGAAACCGGAGAAGCAGCAGATTTGGCTAAACTTTTGCCAGTCTAATTTGTCAACGATTCATGCTCAGTCCATGGTCAAAATTACTTCTTCTCAGTAGAAAGGTTAGAAGAAGACGGTGGATTAGGGTTTGGGTTTTGCTGGTGGTAGAAGCTATAGTGGGAGTGCTCGTTTGGTTTGTGATTCTGCTGGTAACCTTTTAGCTGCAGTTAGAGTTTGAGAGTGCTACGAATTTACATCTTCCAGCTTCGTCTAAAAGCTGTTTTTCCGTTGTTGATGAATTTCTTCGTTTAATAAAATTTTCGTTCTTGATAACATCAGAAATAGCGAAAGAGTTGCAGAACGGTAGTAATTTACCGGCAGTGCAAGTAACCAAACCAAACCCTCTCCGACTCTCTCAAAGAATATCTTTGAGATCTACAGGGAAGCAAGCGGGCGGTTATATACAGGGCGACTCAAAGACTTCGCTGTAAAGAAATTTTCAGCTGTGTTCTGGTGTCTGCGATTAGAACGTGCCACAATGAAAGTCAGCAATTAATTTCACCAAAAATCGAAATCATTTAAGCTCTATTCCCACAATATATTGTCTCTCAGTACGAACAAATACATGGATTCCTACATTTGAACTATTTCCTATTCATTTGAAAGAAGAGAAATATCATAAGACAGAAATACGAAAATCTCTATAACTGCCTTTCACTATATTTTCCTACAACGGGGTCATTCAACGCTTCCCTTGCACGTTACCAAAACCACGAGGAGACCTTCACTTGAGATCAGCAGACCCAAGCCATCGTAATATCAGGAATGTGACAGAACTCTGAAACCAAAAGCAATCCTGATTGGCAGAAGAACTCTGAAAGAGGAAAAAAGTCTAAGCACTTCACTCTTGTTCAACCAGAGAGCGCAACGCTGTCTCAACTTCTTCAAAAGGTTGCCCGGCATACAGCTGAAGCTGCCCTCTCTTCACAAAAATCAGCTTCATGTTATCTGACTTTATGGCTTTGCGAAGTTCCTGCAAAACATAAAGTTGCTTTATCATCTTAACACTGATGACTTGAATGAAGGAAAATGCATGTCTAATGGGAAAAAATTATATTTTGAACACTTTTAAGAGTTGAAACGCCGACTCCGTTGTGCTCATGCAATGTTCAGCAGCTTCAGACTCATAAATATTGAATTTTGTGAAATCAAATTAGAATTATTACTTTGTTTGGTAAAGGAACAATATCAGCCCTGAAATCACCCAGATCTTCGAAAAAAGTTTCCAACAGTATACAGAAGTTATTGGCATCAGTGCGGTGTTCGAAAGCGACAGTATAGGAAAAATCACTCTTGCTTTGGTGCTGAGAACTGAGCTTTAAGGTATAGAGTCCGCCTTGCCCCTCACTACCAGAACCTCTACGGATCATAATAACCTGACATTGGATACATAGCAATTTGATGGTTAGTTGTAGACAAAAAGCTTACCCAAATACCAAAATAAGACACAAAAAGAAGAGCTTATTGATCCGATAAGTAAAACTTGTGAACGTAATTCATAACGGAGCATAAAAGGGAAAATATACAGCTAAAATGGCATAACTATAGAATGAGTGACTGAATCATAAAGCATAAGATAAAGATTGCAAGTATCCATTTTATGATAGCATCAATGAGTCCTTAAAGTTAAATAGTTGGCTAAGATGGTTTGGTCAAATGCAACAAAGTTCAATTGCTAAACAGGCAGCACAACTTATAAAAAATAAAATAAAATAAAATAAGTAAAGATAGAAAATTAAGAAAAGTTTATACCAGAACATAAGCAAGATCCAACCACCACGGATCAATATCATTCTTTGATCGATTGCCACTGACTTTGTTAGCCACTGGTTCCTTTTCAGCTTCTTTGTTTTTTGAACTGCTATTTACACTCAATGCAGCATTATCACCAGATTTTATGGTAGGTTCCTGAATTTCTTTCTTTGAGGGAGATTTTTTCTTCCCCAACGCCCTTGATTTTCTTGACTTTACCCCTTCAGAGGACTTTCCTCGTCTTGTCTTCTGGACGGTACCTACAAAGTTTAACAAATTAACAAAAGAGCCAAACTAACAACAAAGTATGCAGTTTTTGTGCAATTCAAAAGCTTTACCATTTTGTGGCTCAAAAGTTCCAGCTCCTATGTCCTTTCCGCTATCCATACTCCGAGTTCCTTTCTCCAAATGTTTCCCGTCATTTTGCAACAACTTGGGTTCGTCCTCTACGGTCTTGGAAACACCTTGTCCAATATCACTCTTTTGCCGGTTTTCATCATTATCCGAATCCAACAATTCTTTACCATCACTACCAACACTTGCATCTCCCGCCACTGTATCTACACCGCCCGGATCTCTCTTTATCCTCCTAGATTCACCATGCTCATCCAAACCCCCAAACCCCTTGGGATTGCTTTTCGCCTCGGCCTTAAACTTGACCTTTTTCTTAAACAGCAATGTCCCATCCTCCTCTTTAGAATTCCCAGCTTCTACATTCTCATTCTTTTCCATATGACTCACATATGGACCCTGCAACTTCTCCCTTTTAGAATTCAAACTCCTCTGCAACCTAACCAACCGCTCTCCGACCTCTTTTTCGATACCTATTCTATTCCTTGCATCAGAAACATCATCTTCATCACCAATACTTCCCTTCTTCAACTCCCTTTTCTCCGACTTTCGTGCTTCCCTCGCCATTGCTCTAATTTCCTCTATCCTCTCGTCCAATTGTATCTCGTCCAAATAAATCACATTGCCCAATTCAGACTCAACATTCGAATACAAAGCCTTCCCTTTCGATTTGCTTAAAGTTTTCGACTTCCCAGTTTCCTGATCAGGATTATCATTTCCCAGCAACCAAACGGTAAAAAAAGCCTGAAACAAATAAGCCCCAAACAAATACGCCCCAAATTTAAGGACGGACTTGGCAGAAAATTTACCAACAATGCCATTTTGCTCCGGGGTCGCCACAGACACGCTCAGTTCTTCAACTTTATCGCCTTCTGCGGCAACGACGTCGCTTCGGTCAGAGCTAAGTTCGGTGTTGGAGTCGTTCTCGGAAGGAGTTACCGGGGACTCAGTGGGAATTACAGGTTCCGTCGGGGGCAGTTCGGGAAGGAGAGGGGTTTTGGGTGGCGGGTGGGGTCGAGTTAGGGTTTTGAGGATTTTGGGGCGTAAATGGTTTCTCCGTCGGGTGGGTTTTGACGGTACGGAAACGGAGGCTGAGAGGATTGGTTTGACTGGTTTGGCGGTGGAGTGGATTGGGTGTGCGATGACAAGGGAGGTGGCGCAGTGCGCACCCGCCATTGGTGGTTCAAGAAAGGAAAGGAAATGCTGCTTTGGTTTGAATTTCAGCTGGAAAATGTATTTGGAGGGGCTGGTACGAGCCAATTTGCGCCATGTGTGAACGTTTGGGAACTTAGCAGGTGAAAGGTCAAAGATCGACTGAAGGATTGGTGTTGTCATATTGTGGGCCAATCTTTTCTTTTGTTGTGGCCCAATATTTTTGTTTCCTTTCAAGGGCGAGCCCATCTAATTTCTAAACCTAATCGACAGAAGAGCAGAATTCTCTCTTCTTTTAATCTCTCTCTCATTCTCTCTCCCGTATTTAAAGGGTTACGAATAAAACATGTCACATCTTGTGTTGACTTTTTTATAGAGAGAAGGACGAAGATGAAAGTGTGAAAGGAGGGGAGAGAAGGGGATAGAATTAGAAGGGGAGGAGAGGGAATGTGATAGAATTAGAAGGGAAGATAATCTCACTTATCGACAAAAGGACGAAAAAAGAAAAATCAAAGAGAGAATTCACTTTGTCAACTAAAGAGAATTCACTTTGTTAATCAAGTTAATGATGAATTCAATAAGTTTCTTACTGATTATAAGATGAAATTCACACGTCACTTTACGTAGTTGTTATTAGCTCCTTACCCTTGCTTATTCTCTTCAATGTAATGGCTACATAGTAGCTTTCCTTAAAGAGAACATCAAAAGAACATTGTGAAATGTCATGAACTTTATGTAGACCCGCCAAGTTTTATGAAGTTAGTATTAAGTTACAACTTAGTTTGAGATGATTACATGTATAAATGCACATTTACTATCTCTAATAGGAATCTTATATTTGAGGCACCCATTATATATTTCAAGTCAAATGTGAGAGGTTTTATTTAGAGTATAAAAAAAATAGGAAGTGAATAAAACGACAAAGAATTTTGTACCGAATTTGACACTATTTACTTTTGATGCATTAGAATGCGGTTGTGGATGGTGAAGTCCCAAATTATAGTGTAGCAATTAACAACCCAAGAATCGATCATTGGATGAGACCTAGCATCAACTTGGATGATAATAATGTTTTGTCAAGTTTATATGGAGTAAAAGAAATGAATTTTTTTAACAGAGTATATCAATTGCTTTGTAATTCGTCAGAATACATATGTAGAGTAGAAATTATCTTTGTTTAATCATAAACATTTGATCGCTATCCACAAATATATGTATATATAACCCCAATTCTGGCCAAATGTTAGTTCAAGTTCAGAGATGATCCACAAGTAGCAGCTCTCGGGGCAAAACGTTTTGCCTTTAAGAGTTAGAGTCCCACATCAACCGTGGAAGAGAATTGAGCAAGCAAACAGGCCTATAAAATGAACACCCCAACTTTGAACCAATCATACCTTTCTCGGCCTTTTGGCTAAGATCAAGTGTAGTATCTGTTCTTATCAGTTTAATATCTGATACGTGGATCAATGGTTCACACGATATTAAATTAATTTTTTTGGGAGGAAGGTCTACCACGGTAGCTTGCTGCTGGGATCTTTGCGTGTCGTCCGAGCGTTGCACTATTGCTTGGGCAGGCGCACTCCACCAAGTCAAGTTAAAGTTCTAATCACCGTTATTCAAAATTAGAAATTCCGTCTCAGAGGAAAAGTGTAAATTCCGTTTCAAAACCCAAATGAAAAAGAAAGCAGAAAACCCTATACAATTTCTTCTTACAAAAAATAGAGACCGGCAGATAGGATATGATCATATCGTTTGGGACCATACTCATTTGACCCATCTCGTTGAACAATTAGTCATTTGCAGAAACCGACGCCAGATCTGACCAGCGAAAGAGGAGAGATTTCAGTGAAGTCGAGCGCGGTTGTTGCAGAGGGGATGGAGGCCATGGTCCATGGAGATATCGAACAACAAGACTGTTGTCGTTGCCAACGGCGGTGGTGGCCAGGCTGTTGCCACCGGCGGCCACGGTTGCGATGTCGCTACAGCTGAAAGACGAAGAAGCTGAAGATAAAGAATTAGATTGTACTGAAAAAAACGACGGCTTAGCGCCATTGTCGGTGATGGCCGCATGCCTAAGGCGAAGAACGATATTTGGGCGGCTGCGTTCGGGAATTTTTTTAGAAAACTAATGAAAAGATTTGAATTATGATAAAAAGTAAAATAAATGGTAAAATAAATTGATTTTTTTAATATAAAAATATAATGTATAGTTAAAATAAATAGTATCAAAAGTCTTTCGTTAAAGTTGTTAATTTTTTTTTGTTTCCAGTTGGAGGTAAGGGTTCCTCATATGCTTTGGACAGTGTTGTGGCACAATTTGTGACGTGTCGAATCAAATGGGCAATGGAGTGGGCCCCGCGATGGCCATGTAGTCAGTTAATTGAAAAGGAGACGAAAAATGCGATGGATGTATGATATTGAAATGAAATTACGAGTCTGCGTAAAATTGTATGTTTTAATTATGAAATTGTAATGTTTTAAAGCTTAATGTTGTCGACAGATTGATGTGTCCGCTGCAGTCTTAAGCTTTTATGCTGATTGTCCACAAATTCAATGGTTTAGCTATTTAGACTCGGCGCTTTTGTAAGAAATTTTTGCTGTTTACAAGCATTTTAGTCCCACATCGACCAAAAAACAAAGAAAGCCTTTATGCTAAGGTCAAGTGGACCGCCTGATTAGATGATTGGTGACAACTTCTTGTTGAGAAGTTTGGTAGATGATGTAAGTGGGTGATGAGGATGATTGATCGTCAAAATCTGTTGTTGCCAAGTTCAAAACTCATGAGGGCTAAGCTAATTATCTTGACTTGAAGATTAAAGAAATGGAAAAATGAATGATAGTTTTGATCTGGATTAAGAATTGTTACATCTATGTAAAAGCTAGATTGTATATATTTAATTTTGGTTTCTTTACACTAATGACAATTTTTATAATTAGTATTTTTAATAACGCTTAGGCTGTTTCGAAGGCAGGGCGACCATTAAAACGTCTCTATTCAGTGGGAGTAGGCTTGAACTCGTCTAGACGTGGTCGATGCGCGCTTGAAAAGTTGCCTAAATATGGAATTTTATCAGTTGAAATCTGAAAATTTTAGTTGCAAAGCCATTGCACTTTGAAAAAGACGGCCTTATTTAGAGTGATTTCTTTTGCTAAAGTTTCGTTTTCCTTACTATTTTTTGTTTTCTTTAACTTTTTTTTCTCTTTAAACTAACCCACCGATTGTTGTTTCTCACTTGTTCATCATATTGTTTCAATATATTCTCTCATCACATTTCTGTAAAAGCATCTTACATCTTTATATTATTCTTTTCTTAAAAACGTGATTGGCCGACATAAAAAAAAAGCATATTTTTATTTTTATTGTTTTTTTTGTACTGTTAAATATCAAACTCTTTTCTCAAATGTTATATTATCCTTGTTTTCTTACCAAAAAATTTGTTAACACTTAACATACATGCCAGTATCTTACTGAAAGAACAAATTCTACCTGTGAATTTAGATTTTATGGTGTGAATTGAGTTTTAATATCCAATACTTTTTTCTTAAACTTTAAATTTCGTTTGGGAATGCTTAGCAAGCAATTCTGCCTAAAAGCACAATACGATTTCAAATAAAGTGCTCGTTTGAAAGTGCTATTAAAATGACTGAAAATGTTTTTAGTGAAAATATTTTTAGATTCTAAAAGCATTTAAAGTGTTTCTTGCAAGAAGTACATAACTTTGCTTCTTATAGGAAGCATTTAAGTGCTTTTTGAAGATTCACATACATTTTTACTAAAAATTGGCTCCAAAAACATTTCTATCAAAAGTATTTTCAGTTATTTTAAAAACACTTCTAAACAAATTCGAAGTGAAACGCATTTTGTAGTCAAATAGATTTTGAATGAAAACCCTACTATTGAGAAAATAAATAAATAAATGAAACGGGTTGAGCCCCGTTTCTTTGGCGGGTCGGAACCGGAAAAAACAAACGGCTGTAAGGTTTTGGCTGGTTTTATCCGCATTCCGCATGGTGTTTCCCTCTTTCTGCTGACACTTCAGTGGTAGTCACGGTCCCCAGAAATGGCGAAGAAGCTGCTCTTCCGATGAACTTCAAATCCTTCGCCGCCCACTCTTTGGCGCTCCAACCCAGGGAAGCCGCCATGGCTGCTATTCAAACCTCTCCCTATCGGGTATACACACTCACACAAGAAATATAACTGTATTGGATATACACGCACACACCAGCACTTATTCTGAGCTCACAGTTGAGTGTTCACTTTCTGTTTGGTTCCCGAGAAAATGTTAGGAAGGACTAGAAACACTTGGAAGTTTCGGCAGGGCCTTTAAATTGTTCTGCTTTCTGTTTGAGATTTCTAGCTTCGTCTTCTTCCTACATTTGTCCCATGGTTTCCGGGAAAAGGATCGCAGTTTTCAACTGTTTGAAGAACCTTTTGGGATATTTGTGATGAGTTTTAAAGTTGCGATTTTTGCTCCTTCTTCAGTTGTTCTAGTGGTGAAGTGATGATGTACTTGAATTCGGAATTTCAGTTTGAGTTTATACGAAAGTGGATTACAATTCGGTTTCATGTGTCTGCATAAAGTTGCGATTTTTATCGGCATATGAGAGTATGAGCCATTGTTAGAATTTTTATTGTGGCGCATCAGTTGCTTGATGGAATGTCACACAAAGACTTTCGATGGAGTTCTCGATGGTCGGAGTTTTGAGCGTCTTTTTTCTTTAATTCGGTAGAAGATTCAGATAGAACAAATAAAAATTACGAAATGTATGCAGTGTCTTGTTTATTGTAAGTGAAATTCAAAAGTGAGAGCTGACAGAACTGATTTTGTCAAAATGTGGAAACTGCCATTGTTTTTTTCTTTCTATTTTACAAAGTGCAAAGACAACTCTATAAATGCTCTTAACTTCTAATTGGAATTCAACAACCAAACCAAATCGCAATAATGGTAATAACCAACTGCGAACAAATTGTAACTTACTATTAACCAATAAATTTAGATTCCCTTCCACAGTTCTCAATTGTTCTGTTTCTTTTCTTCTTCTGAACTTCTTTCGACATAATTTTACTTGAAATAAACGGCTTGATTCATGATTGAGTTCAAATTTGTCATTTGAACATTAGATTATCCTATCTCATTTAACTCCATCTTAAATCTTTTTACTATTTTCTAATAAACAGAACTGACAAATTGGGTTGTACATGGATCAGGTTCTATCGCAAGGAACCTGCGCATCTTTTAGGAGCACAGCTTCCGTTGGCCTATTTTATTTCAGAGATAGGTCTTCAGTTAAAGTATTCTCCCTCCTTAACATGGTGCACTATTCTACCTTTTCCAATGACGAGTTTGGTTTGTCCTCAAAGCGAAGATCTCGAGGACCTGTTATGGCCGCAAAGAAAGCAGCTGAAGGTGTTTTTCTGTGTTATTATTCTTATTTCAAATTTGGTGCTTGTAGCGTTGGTCTGTCACATGATTTCTAGAGAAGTCCTTTTGAAGTATTTCTAATTTTTGTCTGAAAACCAAACGCAATATTCCTTTTATTCTTCTCCTAATTATTTGGGTTGATTGTTGTTGTTTAGGAAAAAAGCAAGAAGACGGAAAATACAAGCACACAGTTGAGCTGCCAAAGACATCATTTAGCATGAGAGCAAACTCTTTAACGCGAGAGCCTGAAATCCAAAAGATATGGGATGACAATCAAGTGTTCAAAAGAGTTATTGGTAAAAATACAGGGGTGAGTTTCATACATGCCTTAGATTTAGGTATCTGTGACCTGGCGTGAATTATTGCAGACTTTTACTTTCTTGGTCAGGAAAATTTCATTCTTCACGATGGTCCTCCGTATGCCAATGGAGATCTTCACATAGGCCATGCTTTAAATAAGATTTTAAAGGATTTTATCAATCGTTACAAGGTATTTATTCCTCCTCTACTTATCCGTTCGCAATGATATTTTTACATATATTTCACATTCATTTTCAGCTTGGGTGAGGTATAACATTTCAACTTTGGATGCTGCTTAAGAAAATAAAAATGCATGAGAGTTTCATGCTGCTTCACAGTTATTTATTCAACTAATATTTTGATGAACTCTGCTTATAACATACTAAAATAAATAAAACAAAACAGCTTTAGTTACATAAACCCAGATCCTATCCTCTTTATACATGCAAACTAAGCTACATTTGATTGTTTGTCAAAGCTAATGACCCTCTCACAAAAATAAGTAAAGTTCATTCCTGTATTCTTTTTCTGTGGGCAGCTTCTTCAAAATTATAAGGTTCATTATGTGCCTGGTTGGGATTGTCATGGCTTACCAATTGAGTTGAAAGGCAAGTAATGTTTCGATCATATTCATTTATGTATCATGAAAACCACTTTCAGAGGGAAAATAAGTTGAAGAAGCGTTCTATAGAATCCTCTCAGTTTTTCCTAATGTGGCCTTAATTGGTAAAAATCAAGGTTTTAATTTTTTTAATTTTTTTTTTTTTATCGAGAAGTAGAAATCCAGTTTGAGTACATTTGGTTTATTTTCCTGGGTGAATGTGCTGATTAACTTGGGCATCATTTCGATCATTTCAGTTCT